GGCAGTCGCCCAGGAAGGTGGTGACAAGCCAGGGTCCATGAGGAAAGGGCTTCTGCACATTTATAGTAAGGACTTTGAATCTGAAGCCAGACTATGAAGGAGACAGTTTATAGGTGCTCTATCCACTTAAATGAATCGATAAAACCACACTTTTGCCAGCATTGTGTGGGTTTTTTTGTAAATAAATCCTTTGTGGGCGTCTCCCCCTCGCTGGTACTGGTGCCACTGGAGGAACTGGGCAGGCGCTGCTGCCAGGGCTGTGTGCTGGCTCTGGCAATGCGAGGCACCGCAGGTCCCCCAGTGAGCGACACCGGGACGAGCAGGGAGGGAAGAGGGGAACCCCTGCGGCCGCTGCGCCGCCAGATTAGCATGGAGATGTCACACTGGAGAGCAGATACTCCTGACACAAATCCTTATGTGATCGGGGAGAGAGATAAGATGTCAGCTCTACTGGTAACTCAGCTATATAAAATAAAATAAACTTCAAGCAATTATTACGAAATAAAATGGATTCTGCTGGCATAATCTGACAACATACTGACGGTGGGAGCAGACATGCTCATGATAAAGGAAAATCCCAACAGTAGAATACAGTATCATTAGATAAGATGATACTTCATATAGTACAGATGATTTGTGGCAGAGAAAAGTACTGTAAATCGCTGGCCTCCAAGTTTGCTATAAAACTCCCATTAAGATCAGAGTACTGTGTATTCTGCTCTCTCCAGCCCTCTTGTTAATGGTTCCATCAGATAATGAAGGCTCTTATCTCCCAGGGCAATGACAGGGAAGAAGCCCATAGCCAACAGACCCTTTGTTTTCCCAGTGGGGCTGGCACAGTGGACCATGGTGACCCAGCCAGGCTCAGCCCCTTTGATTGTGGCCACATCAAAGCTGACAGACAGGAATCACAGCCTTTGCCTGCAGAACATCCTCTTTTTAAACTCAAAACCTTCCTGGTGTGTGTGTTACAGCCCATCTCCATCCCCCACGTGGCACAATTCTGCAGAGCAGCAGAAGGCACCTGGCTAGATCTTCTGGGGCATTAAACTCCATTTTCCCTACAACCATGGATGTGTTTTCTTTACTGGTATGACTCTGTGCTCATTCTCAGAGATAGCACACTTGTTTTACCCCACTTGCCCGTACAAGCTCATGTCTTCTTTTTGTGCTGTGTTCTCCCCCACCCCTCCCCATACCTAGCTGTGTTCATTTTGTGATCATGTCTCCAGCAAATTTAAATCTGGCTATTAACAAGCAAAATCTGTTTAGCACTGGGAGAGGCTCTACTCTGCCTATGGAAACCTCTCAAAGTAGTCCCTGAAGGCTCTGAGGTGGAAACTCTGATCCCAAAACACTACCCAATACCTGTAGCATCAGCTGCCTGCTAGAGGTGACAATCCCTCTTGGTCAATGAAGCTAGGCCACCAGCTTAGCCTGGACCCTTGCTGTGGGGTGATGTGTCAGGACAGGGCTGCTCTGCAGCATCTCCTTGAGTACCTGAACAGAGGGACCTTTTGGAGATGAATGCTGTTCCTGGAGCTGCAAGTTCGGTTGCTTGTTCCTCTTGGCTGGACCTTCTCATTTGTGCTTTGGAGTAGATACAGTAGGTACCTGTGACTAGAGGCACAGGCTGGGTCCCAGTATTGTGTATCATAATGGCTCCTACAGCCAGCAGACACAGAAGTGCTTAAATGATGCCTCAGGAGACAGAAGTGAAATAGGTCAGAGCTCAGAAAACAGTTCTGGTCAGGGACCCAGTTGGGTGATCACAGCAAAATAGGATCTGGGAGGACCCATCGCCCTGTATCATCAGCCAGTCCAGAAACCCACCATCTCCCAGAAAAAGCGGTGCAGGTCATCATCAACCCAGTTTCAATGACACAAACAGCACAAGGCCATGTCTAAAAGCTGGTTGATGCAGTTCCCATCCCACCTTGGTTACTTAGATTAGCAAGCCCTTGGCTAATTGATGATGATATTATATAGCATTACACATTATAGTATTACAGCTGTACTTCTTGTACCAAGGTATGAAATTCTCACCATGATGATGGACACAGTTCAGTGTCACAGTTTGCAATATTTGGTAGCAGCCCCTCTACTGGCTCTGGAGAAGATGGCAGAGCTCACAGATAATACCCTGATGTTGTCAGGAATTTGAAAAAAAGTCAAAAGGAAACCAAATAAATGTATGCAAATGTATATGCACACATATATGTGTGTGCACGTGTACCTTGTCCCAGGGGCTGCTTTGTCTCCACATTGGCATGTGTACCTGTATGTGTAAACACACAAACACACAGAGGTTGTTCTCTCCTTCTGTTTGCCTGCCCGGCTCCTGTGAGCCACCAGCACATTGACATCTGTAACAATCCAGCCAGATTTTATTAAAACATCATCTTATGTTTAAAAACTCTTTTAAAAGCCCTGCAGGACTCTTGCAGATTTCAGTCCCCTGCCAGCTGGCAGAAGAGAGCAGGCAGGCAGAGCAGCGGCAGCCGTGCTCAGAATGCCAATGTCTGCGAGCTGTAACACAGTGAGAAGGTCTCCTCTGCTGTCCACCAGAGCTCCACGTCTTGGGATTTGCAGTCTCTGCACCAAGTCCCGTGGAGCTACTGGTGTCTGAAAGGCCTATGGAAAGGTCCAATCTCCCACTCTGTGATGGAATGATGATTAAGGGATTGGAGCACCTCCCTTATGAGGAAAGGCTCAAGGAGCTGGACTCTTTAGCCTGGACAAGCAAAGACTGACGGGAGACCTTATTTATGTTTATAAGTATCTAAAGGATGGGTTGAAGGATGTTGGAGCCGGACTCTTTTCAGTGGTTTCCAGCAATAGGACAAGGGGCAACGGGCTCAAGCTGGAACATAGAAAGTTCCATTCAAATATGAGGAAAAACTTCTTTACGATGAGGGTGACGGAGCAGTGGAAGAGGCTGCCCAAGGGGGTCGTGGAGTCCCCTTCTCTGGAGATCTTCAAGACCCGCCTGGATGCAGTCCTGAGTGATGTGCTCTGGGCATGCCCGCTTTAGCAGGGGAGTTGGACCAGATGGTCTCTAGAGGTCCCTTCCAATTCTGACAATTCTGTGATTCCGTGATTCTGTGAATCCACCCTTCCCCTCTCCCACACTCAAACATTCCTGTCAGGGTCCCAGCCTGCGGGATGCCCACCTCCAGGCAAGGCGGTCCAGGCACCCACAGACCCTGCTTCCCCAGCGGCTCCAAGGGCTGGGAGCCTTTCCCTCCTATGGCCATCACTTGGGCTTGGGGACATCTGTCCTGTGCAGGTTGGGGGACTGCAGGCTGTGAGGGGAGCGGCTTCTTCAAGGGAGCCCCACCAGCAGCACCTGCAGGACCTGGCTGTTGCAGTCTCCTCCTGTCTCTGGGGTCCTGCTGCCCCCAAGCACTGACGGCAGCAGGACGGGTGCCGCAGGAGGCATTCCTCGGAGTCAGAGGTGGTGGCACAGCACAGAGTTCCAGTGCCCACCCAGGCCTCCAAACCGGCTGGTTCCCAGGAAAGACGTGCTGATGGTCTCAATGGGCAAAGCCCTCTGCAAGGGGAAACCCACCCCTGAAACTTTACAATCGTTTACCATCTGCTCCCATGACAAGCTGCAGGTCCACTCCCAACCTGACCACGGACCTGTCCTGGCTTCATACAGGAAGAGTTAATTTCCTATCTAGTAATTTCAGTGAGAGGGATGTCAACAGTACATATTGACTTAGTTGTTGATAGGTCATGTTTATGCTTTTCAAGGAGTCTCTTCAGCTTCCCATGGAAGCTGAGAAGGGAATACAGATGGAACAAGAGGATGGCCCGTGGAATACTCCGTACCACAGGTGATGTGATCGGTGTGCTCTGGTGTCACCTCTGGTGTGATTGGCGTGTGGTGTATAAACGGGGGTTGGCCAGGGGAAGGAGCCAATTCGCTGTGCAGCGAGAGTGATTTGTGTTATTATTATTGTTATTTTCCTTTTCTGAGACGGTCTTTATCTCAACCCAGGAGCAGCTGCGTGGTCCTGGCTGCCGGGGTCCAACCCCGCCACCATCGCTGCAGGGACAGGGAAGGACCGGTGGGACGGGGGCTGCAGGAAGGCTGCGGGGTCCCCACGGTGGGTTAGAGCCGGGCTGGGGTCCCCTCTCCACACCCGCACTGCGCGGCTGCCGCGGCGCCCCACGGGCACCCTGCCTGTGTGCCCGGCACCTGGGTGTGCCCGGCGTGTGTGTTCACGCGTGTGTGCCCTGCACGCGTGCCCTGCACGCGCAACCCGTGTCTGCTGTGAGTGTGCACTGCACGCCTGCACAAGTGCCTGCCCTGCGCGTGCGCACCACCGCCCGCCCCCGGCC